TGAATGGGTACTGTGGGTCTGCACATACCCTGTTGAATTTGGATTGAATGGTTACTGTAGCCCTGTGACTTTTTCTCAAGCTTCACGCACTGGGGTTTACCCGTAGACTCAGTAGTGTCCACTCTTTATGATTGTGCATTTCTAATGCAATGCAACGAAGGACGCAATGGAGGGGTTACTCTATCTGCTTGCCATGTTTTGTGCAAGAAATGTCAAAGAACGTTGACAAGAGGAGAAAGGAGAAAAAGAAAAGAAAGACAAAAAGAAGTTCCCGACTTTTCTTTTCTAGTTTTTGATATTTTAAAGAAAAAGCACAAAAAGGGGCAAAAGACCCTGGCCAGAAACCTGGCATATTGTGGCATACTGATTGATTGCCTCAGGCAGGAGTGTAACCTGACCTTGCACCAACCCTTGCCTGAGAAGAGACCCAGGGGAATCAGGGGTAAGCAACACAAAAGCAGCTCACCATGAGCCCAGCAATTGGGTCTTTCCTCTTGTTATACTTAGGTGGCATAGATACAGTTTGTACACAATGATATTGTGTAAATTTGTGTGATTAGGTATGGCCAATCCATACTCTCTGTGATGTGCATTGTGCCTACTGTACCCAATCAAACAAAATCACACAGGTAAAGACCTGTTGAAGTTTGTGTGATTGGGTACTGTTGCAGCAGGAAGCACTGTGGAAGTCTGTGGGATTGGGTACTGTGAGGTAAGATATTTTTCCAAGGTGATGAAGTTTGTGTGATTGGGGAAGGTTAGGTCCAGCAACCCTTGGGCGGTTAGGGTTAAATACACATGTAAATTCTACGTGCAATAAACACAGTTCACTTTACAAAAATTCTCCTGAGCCAAGGCTCCCCAAAAGATTGAAATAACCTGCAAATTAATGTAACAATCAGTAACATGGTCTTGAAACCCCAAGTCAAAAGTTTCAGAGAGATGTGGATCAGGGAAAGAGTTCCATAAATGAACGTCGCTTGACACCCTTTGCACAATCCTTATGGGACTGGTCTGAAAAAAGTGTTTCCTAAGTAAATGAATTGGTGTTTTCCCTCCTAAATTGAACTTTTCTGGACATGTTTTGCTTTCTGATGGCAAATAGGTCACTGTAGGGAATAATTACTGGCGTCCGTATATGGATCTCTTCCCTAGATCAGGGTAAATGGCTCTTGCAGGGAAAACATGATTGAGAGAGTTGAATCAGATTTTGAAGTAAATCACATCATGGAAATCACATCACGGATGTATTCTGAGACTAACAACATACATGCACATACATGTAGGACATGCACAAATGAGTGAGGGCACTGTTTATTTGAGATCTCATTCTCTTAACAGGAAATTGTGATTAAAATTTCTCTTTTCTCGCATGCCGTAGCTCCTCTATTTAATTTCCGAGTGAAAAGTTTTGAAATTTCAAGTGAAGCAAGCATTTAATTCATTGAGAAAAAGCACAAACACGCGCAAGAACAAAGAGTTCGCGAAAATATGAATTTTAAGCTTTTCAGTCAAAATCAGCACTCATTTTTGTGTACAAAATAATCAGTTTGCTCTGCACTGCACGTGCACAAAAACATTCCAAAATAGTGCTGGTTCAAATAGTTCACAGTCAGATTGCATCCAAACTTATATCAAAATGTTTCTAATGACATCCCCTCCAAGATCATTTCAACTTAAAAAATAAAACAAAAATGGACAAGAGTTCCAAAGAAGGGCAACAGTACACCTAACTTTTAGGCCGATCAGAAAGTGATAACATGTCCTAAAACTGAAAGTTAGCTAAGAAATTTCTGTAGCATTTACTTAGAAACACTTAGTTAGACAAGTCTCATCATGCTTATAGGCATGATAGGTTTGTGCACAGGGCCTCAATTTTTTCATCCTGAGATGCCTAACTCCACTTTTCTCATGATATATCATCTCAATAATTGTCAGTCATTACAGAAATGCTGGAAAAACACGAATTCTGGACTGAGAAACATTTACCGATGTTGTTGGCGGAATTGGGCATGTTGGGAAATAGCTTACTTAGAAAATTCTCTTCACTCCCCATAGAGTTTGTACACAACTGCCGACGGCTGAAGTGGAGTCAGGATGCAACATTTTTCCCACTATTGTTCTAGACGACACTCCAAAAAATTAACAAATAGGCCGAGGCCCTGGAGTACGCACATGTAGCGACTACTGACAGTAGTCGCTACTGCAAATTAAACTCAATGAAGTAGCCTAGTAAAAGCATGGAGGCTACCTACCTGCATGGTAAGTAAGCCTAAGTACATGTATTAAATGGGAAGTTGCAATATTCACGACCTATTGATGACAGTTCATCACAACGCGGATATTGTGAGTTCTTTACCTTATCCAGACAATTTAGCTTCTCCACCGGATAAACTGTCTTTTTGCATCTTGCACAAGGTGCATTCATCTTGCTTGTCTTGATCTTTTCCGCTCCTAAATCCCAGAGAATTACCAAAAACAGGGAAACTTCCAGGCACACTACCAATGGCGCAGAAACCTTACCGATACCAACATGACGAACTACATGTAGCTCGACTACTAAGGCTCTTACGTGCCAGGAAAGTCGTGGAAGTAATACTGCCAAAGTGGTAATGTTTCGTGTCTAATGTCGTTAGAAAGATTACACGAATTATGATATGGAATTAAAAACAAATTTTTGCATTTCTCGTCAGTAAATTGGGGATCTAGATGCGATAACAGTTTCTAAACGATAAACATTCTAGTAAATTTTGTTTTTGTGTTTGCTTTTCGGGGCCACTGTACAAGCGCCCTCATGGCCTTTTTGCGCGTTTACATGACTGGTACTCATGCCCCTTTCACCTTAGTTTAATAGGATCGTTGTGTAGGAACCAGCCCAGTTCGTAGATAGCGACCCCACCCACAACTCCTACAACCTCTATTTTGATTTCCCATTGATCGTCTAGCTCGGGTCGTACCCCGATATATAGTGCCACCACACCTCAAAGAAAATATAGAAGGCTGAAACCGTTATTCTTCAATAAGGAACACCTCAACCACATTTGAAAAGAACAAGATTTTTTTTGTAACCTCAGAATTAGAGGTCCTTTTTCCAAGGAAGTCTGAGGAGGGCGCTGTACTAAACATTTCTACACTTGTAGGTCTACATACAACTTTTGGCCGAGTGTGCATTAGTGCGAAATTAATTAAGCCTGCACGAAATCGTATCTTTTCGAAAGCGAGACAGCACTTGCAAATGGGAATCCATTTGTGGCAGCAAACCGTTTGTAAAGACTCTTCAAGCGCACACTAGTTCTGAACTTTTTTCCCTTAATCTTATCAGGATTTGGAAAAAAGTTGGCTTACTAAACGCTGAATAGCCGCAATTATGACTGAAACGTCGCAGCCAACTTGCGATAACGTCAACATCTTTTTTTGGGGGGGGGTGTAGATGTGAAGAAGTCGCGACTTTATTTCGTAGTCTCAGTTGTACAGTGTTCCAGTTGCAATGACAATCTTCCTTTTAGTACTTACTTAGGCCAAGTACACTGCACATGCCCACTGATCCATTCTCCTAGAGGGAAAAATTTTCTTTAATCTGTGTGGAAACTTTAATTTTTTGTTCAGTGCGCGTGTTCAAATAAGAAGCCCCAGTTGCATTAGGACTGCCTGCTGAATTTGTCGATCTCTGACACGTGAAACATTTACAAACATACACTGAGCTCGCCGTACATGTATTATTCATTCGTGGACCTTGAAATGAGAGACGGTGTCACCTAAATACATGTCCCTTGACCACCTCACCAATCAGCTTGTCTTTTAACAAAACAACTTATGATAAAACAGCAGTCTTGTAGTCGCAGTTGTACTTTTTTCCGAGTACCGATACTGTTGAGTACTTAGATCGTCAAGTAGAGTTCAAGTCTGAGTACTTTGCCGAGTACAAGGCAAGTATAGAAAAAAAGAAGGTTGAGCACGGACGGCCAGCAGGCGAGCGGCCGCCGGACTCTGCTCGGGCGAGGACTACACGGACGAGTGACCAACCAGGCGCCGTGGCGGGCAGCGGGTCTCTGAGTAAAAGTGCTTACAGTTTCTAGTATAAGAGAACTTGTACTTTCGAGTACAAGTCCTTGTATTGCAGAATACTAGTAAAAGCACAAGTCCAAGTACATTGTTTGAGAAGCTAAAAATTACACGTTATTTAGTATGATTAACACTATGAATTACCTCTGTAAGCATTTTTGGAGTAATCGCAGAATACCTCGCCACTCGAAAGTTACCCCCCTTGAAATCATTGGCTACGATTAATTTTGGTTTTAAGCTATCCCACATGAACTTTTTCCAAAGAAGCGCTACACAGCAGACGTGAAGTTAAGGTCACTTCATAAAATATCATCTATATCGTTTTGGAAACAGTATGTAACACTTTGAAAATATATGTGTTCCTACAAAATAATTCATTCACGTGCATCATAAACAGGTAGGTCCAAATGTACCAGCATTTTACGAGCAAGAGACTAACACGATGATAGGATGGTCGGTTTTGTGACTCTTAACCATTCACTTCAAGGTTAAAAAAGCTTTCTTCTTTCTTTTAGCAGCTTTTTTCAACCCTGCCACGAATGATTTTCCTCTCGCTAGTTCAGACCATCTATACGGTTCGGACGTCACATCAACAAACACGTGACAATGCACACCATTGGAGCACCCCCACATAATCGGTGTTTGGAAGCTTTTTCTACCAAGGCGCATTCCGCATGATTGTCGACACTTCCTCTGCTGAAATAGTTAAACACATCAATCAAACTGACTCCAAGGCATTTCTTTTTTTACAAACAACAATATTTTTGAAGTTTTTTCTTTATTGAGAGACACATTAATACAAACAAGATATCCAGTATAAGTTCTTGGGAAAAAAATGACATTAAATGTTGATAGTTCTTGTGCAGTATGCACACTGGCGTGACTGTTTACAATAAAAGTGGCAAAGACAGTGAAACTGTGTTCACCGACCAAGTTTAATTGTATTACTTTTTATACACTATACAGGAGAGAGATGTTGCCCTTCGGAGGAAAAAAGAAGAGTACATGTACATGCACTTGGAGAGGCAAAGCCATGTGAATATCAACATTTAGCAAGAACAGCGAACCAGCTGCGCATCTATTAGAATCCTATCTAGGGGAAAAAGCAATTCTATGATGTATTCACGGAATCATCCATTTTAGAAGTCTCTGGATGCTAGCGAACAGAAAGACTGCTTTGCAGAGCTGAACAGCGAACTACTCCCCAGCAGTGTAACTTACAGAACATTCCCACTGCATTCTTTCCCCTGCTTGCGAGCATCAGGGTAATCAAGAAAGTTTTGAGTGCTGGGCGGTTTTTACCATCAGGGCCCGTTTGTTCACTCGGGTCTGGATCTCGATTAGTGATCCCATTGCTGGTTTGCTCCGTCCAGTCAGCGGGTTTTGGTGTCAAGAGAACCGACAACGGATCTCTGATTGCGATCCGGAATCCGCGCCAATCAAACAGGTCCTCAGATAAACGCCAGACACAACCAGCTAAACCTAACTTACAAGATGTAACCTTCAATTTCCCAGCTGTTTGCATGGGCAGTAATATGCAGTTCAAGGATGTCCCCGTGTGCATGACTGGTTCTTACAAAGCAACAAAGGAGGGTGTTGCAAAGTGGTTTACTGAAACAAGTTTTTTCCCCCATCAAAACAGAAAGGCCCAAACACTGACCCATAAACGAAAGTCCAAAAGGCCTCAAGATCCCCATTGTCTGGCTGGCTACAAATGGAAGAGAATTCATCTTTCATTTCAATGTCTGTAAAGTACGAGCCGACAAGTAAAACAATCAAATAATCATATAGGCCCATAACTCTTTTCGGTGTGAGTTTTTATAAAGTGACTTGATTTCCTTACTTTTAAAAAGCATATCTGGACTCAAATTATAAATCTGTCAACCTATTTTCTGGATAGCTTGGCACTAAATCTGTTATCAAAGAAAACGGGAGGCCAGTCTACAGGAACAGTTCAGCACACATTTTTGCTTCGTTATCGTAAATTTTACCCTGCCAAGCAAAAATAAGAAAGTGGCAATACAATGAAACTTATACATACAAACAAAAATTTGAAATTTTTCCCAAGCAACATACATCCCACATATTGGAAAGTAGCCTGGATTGATGTTAGCACAAACTTTTTGGGTTATTTTCAAGTAATTTTGTGTGTCTGGCAGCTTAGCAAATTTGCTTATTCTTGAGATGCCCACAGTTTATAATTTATTAAAAATGATTCACAGTTTTCTTTGACATTAAGGCTCATCATGTAATATCATACATCTGCTGTTATGTGAAGAAATCCATCATTAAAAACCTCTTTCTTTCTGCATTGTAGCCTAAGACCGAACCACAGTTTAGTACTGTTTGCCTGATCTTTGCTGGAAGGTTTCTAGACATACATCATTCATGTCAATCTGAATCAAACATAATTACAAAAGGTGAAAAAAAAAAACTGTGTCAGTAATAATTGATCAACTCTGACCACATGAGCAAACTCTCAAATCCAGTAATACTTTGCACCTTGTAGAGCTGGGAAAACCATTCAGTCCATTACAGTTTAGAACAAACATGTCCGCCGCTATAAAAACCATGTCAAAGTTTGAAATACAGCGGTTGTGGTGGCTGTCTTCATTTACTTTGTGCATGGACGGTTACTGCATTAACTGTGGGGGGGGGGGAACTGCAACTCCCAAAAGGAACAATTTGGGGGTATTACAAATCAGTTAATTTTGGGTGTGGTACTTTTTGTGTTTCTGGTCGACTGACTCGACTCTAATGAGAAGATGCAATGTGGTGCACAGACAAAATCTGCAGCGGAATCAGCACGGATAAGGAATGCACAATGTGCAAGTGCCAATTGATGACGGTGCATTTATTTCAATGACAGATTTGCATGACAGAGTTTTTCTGCACAGCCGGTAACTGCACTGAGAAAAGTACACTTAAAAAGAGGCCTCTTCATTTCCCAGCTGGAGTGCACATGGTCTAATCTGTAGGGACGCTTTCACAGTGCCCATCGACAGACCAATTTACCAAGCCACGCCCCATCGTATACTGCCCAATCACAGCCGTATTTATGTCCAATCGTATTTATGTGATGCGTGTGGTTTGAACCCTGGTTGAAACACGGAGTGTGACATGGGAGAAGAGCATGTGTTGGGTGCCCGCCTTCACAGTGGGCGGGGCTTACTGGATTGGTCTATTCCTGATGGTGGAAAACAAGTCAGGACCCGTTAACGTACATGAATGATCAATGTAGCATGTGCTGTGTTAACAGCATCCTCAGTAAACATTGCACAAATTACATGAAACAAAAAATTTTTGTGGACAAAAATGGGGTTTTTGTTTGACTTCTGGTGAAGAATTTACATTTCCCATTTCCGAATAGACTGTATCACATGAACACTATGATAGGTCCTTTGCACCAACATGTTGGATTTCCCACAACCTGCTCTGATCCTACAACCATGAAACCAGGCCATGTCTGCAACGGGCACTGTTTTGCATGGCAGCGAGTACTCACTATGGTGCCTCCATGGCTTAAGAACAAACCATGGCTACAAAATTTGGATATGGCCCGACATCAGTGATGACAGACTGCAATAGTTGTAGGGGATGAAAAATAGAATGCAAAGGACCTACTATGGAAGCAGACCAGAGAATGAGGCATCTAATGACTCTGAACTCATTCTCGTAGGATTAAGCTTTTCCACAAGCAACACCTCTGGTATCGCACAATTCTATTTCTTGTTTTTGTTTATGTGTGAGAAGCCAGTTCAGTCTTGTCAAACAAGCAGCCAACTGCTTGAACATGTTGAAGACTTCTTTAGGTGAGCTCTTTCGAAATGAAACACTGAACAGTCACATGAGCTTTCTGTATTAACCACTTGGAGAAACACTCTTGGAAATACAGGTGCAAAGTATACATAATTTGACTGTAGGCACTGGTCTGGTAACAATTATCAACGGGGTAACATTTTAGTACCATCTTGGTGATCATGCAAGGTGTACTGCGTTCAAATACCGTGCCACAATTTGAATCAAGACTGCCACCGCCAACCAAACTGTACCACTGCATCGTTGCCAATATGATATGACTTTTTACTGCACTGGAAAATCAACTTCTCGAAAATTCCTCAGATCGGGCGGGCCGTCATCAATTTCCTTTCCATTTGGAAAATGGCCATAGAATGACATAACTTAAGAGGTCACTGCTCATCTGGGTGGTTTCACTGCTCATCTGGGTGGTTTTACGGAGACATAATCCTTACTTTTGAACGATTTGTGTGCACCTGTATTAGTCTTCGACAACAGGGAAAGGAGGAGGGTAGGCTAACGGGAATGGGTGGGGTAAGTGGGAGGGAAAGGGGGCTGGTTGTCTTGACCTGTCTAGAAGCCGTCTTCGTCTTCATCGGCCATTTCTTTGGCTAGTTCCAGATCTTGCTGTTCTCTTTCTCGACGCTCCTGAGTAACCAAGGACAAGTTTCTAATGTAAGATTGCTAAACTGACGGAAACTATGCACTAGGGTTTTGCACTAAATTTAATACTCATTACAAGTGAACACCACATTTCCATTTCCATGGAGAAAAAGAATATTGTAACTAACTGGCATTGGGTCAAATTGACAGCAGTTGCCATTTATCCAAAAAAATCCTGTGAGTTCTGGTTCATTAGCAATGTTCTAGATTTTTTAAAGAAAGTGAAAGGCGGAGCTATGTTAGAAATCACGTAAATTTTGAACATTTCTCTATTAAATACTGTCAGTCTGCATTTATTTGTGTCTGACATCAAAAAATATTGAGCCGAAACACGGGTCTGATTTTTACCATCAGTAAATGTAACACACGCACAAGTTCACAGACTTACCTCAGCTGTCTCCAAATCTTTGTTGTAGGACTTGGGAGGAAATCTCATCGCCTGCACAAAAAAAAGAAAAAGTAATGATTCTAACTTACCCCTGTCAACCCAGACCCCTGAAAATTCATCAAGAAATTTGACAGGATTTAGCTGGATTTGAGGGAAAGCAAATGTCACTGATAAAGCGAATCATCCCACTTGAGGACAAATGTTCAGAAACAAACAATATGGCCTACGCACCCTGATTTCCCACTACACGTATGGTGTGTTTGTCTTGAGATTCTGAGTTCATTTTACTGGACGGCAGTCCTCAAAGCAACATCTATACTCAACGTCACAAAGATACACTTCCACAGCCAATTTCATGCATTGTAACGAGCTACAACATAAATCCTTCTCTGAATAGACCGGACAACACATTTTTGGTACAGAGCTGCAAAGTGAATACGTCACAAGCACAGTTATGTGTGTCGAAGGTATTAGTGCAAGACCCAGCACGTGAACCAACACGCGCGCATGCTCCATTCATTTGCACTACGCTTTCTGGTTGAAAATGACGTCACACTTGGGTACTCTATAGAGTCAGTAGATGGCATCTCTACCTTGACCGCCTGGTTGTGTATATCCAGACAGAAGCTGATCCGTTGATGGAAGGCTGCCATTGGTTCCCTCGTTGAGTAGACATCTACCGTCTCTTTGGAGCGAACGTAACCTTTTTCATGGTCAATACTGGCTTCGATCACACCATCTCGGATCGCCTGCAGTATTACAGAGGAACATCTCATTCAGACAAGGAAAACGGTCAGTGTATTGACCACTTAAGGAACATCTCAAAAGTCAGAATGTTCCTATTCCTACTTGGACGCTGCCCTTTGTGAAAGACTCTTCCCAGTGGCAATTCACTGTTTTCCCATTAGAAACCCGGCATTCCTGAGTTAGTGTACACGCATACACCCCTATTCCCTTTCAAGACGTTGCATATTTAGTGTAGAAAATAACCGCAGGCTTTCCAAACTGGAATGAAAAATGTTTCTGTTACAACGTTCTTTTATATCCTGAATTTCAAGATGCTTCATCTTTGCCAACCCAACAAGAACTAAAACAGGCAATATCTGCCCCATCTCTTTGGTGATTTGGCAGGTTTCACGTCTGTCAGGCACGTAACTGAGAAATAAAGAAACAAGGGAATTCAAAACTGCTCACGGCTCTATACATAAGGTTAGTATAAAACAGCAGACACTAAGTAAAGATGGATGCTCTTTCTGCCCGACCTTACACTGTTGCTCAGAGCTGCTGTTTACACCCTCTTACATAAAAAAAAGTTTTAAAACAGTCATGGCGACTACAAGACGGTAACTCATTACCTTGGCAACGATGAACTCTGCATCCTCGGGGCTCTCCAGCTGGAGTTTCCTGGCCACATCCGACAGGGAGATGCGAGAGTAAGAGAGACTGATCATGCGTACGCCCGTCTTGATCACATTGTGGTGGAGCCGGATGATAAGGGTGTAGGTGCCCTCCGACTGGAACTTGGGGGCCACATTCTTCAGGGTCTGGTTGAAAAGGTGGAGGTCTCCCGTTCTCACAGCTGAATCAAATTGATAAGAATAAGGAGACAATTTTTTAATATACTTATTGTAAGTATCATCACAACGTTTTACGCAGATTGTTAGCGTGTACGAACGTAAATACAAGAAATTCTTCAATACTTATTTCTTGCACCTATCAATGCAATGTTTTATTGAACAACTTTATGCTCAATTTAACATCACAACACACCGTGGGTATTTTGGCAAGCTGCCAATTTCTGTCCAATTAAGAGGACCTGATATTTCAATTTAAGTAGAATAGTTTAAACACCGGGCTTTCCTTTTAAATTTATACATTTCAGATCACTGTAGTCAGCAGTTCGTGCATTTCTTTCCAAATTAAAGTTCTGACAACTTTCCCCTCCTCCAAACCAGGCAAACTCAACCAAAGCACGCTTTGACAACATATAACCTGGCTTTCAGAATATGGAAAAGGTAAAGACACTGGACTGCTGGTCTCAATGCAGCCTGTTTTAAGAAGCACTGCTTCCAGCCTACACCAAATGACTTGAGTAACTGTAGTGCACAGAAACTTGGTTCCAAATAACGCGCTCCTGGGCACTTCTGGCATTAGAGGGTTTGAAACAGCTGAAAGGAGACTAGTAATGCTGCACCATCCTAGCTGAAATATGCCATGCCCTGCTCAATGACACCCAACTCAGGGTTTCAGCTGACAGTTGCCCATTAGTAACTGGTGAATATTGACAAACTATAATCCTGAGCACCTGGTGTGGGAACAGTCATATCTGTCACCAGCTGTGTCAAAATGAATCCTTAATTAAGGCCACTATTCAGTCATTGTGTTTCAGTTTGCATTAAAAAGAGCCACTCCAGCTTTTTGTGTCGTATCTCTGTTTGGAATCCTGATGAAAAGACACTACGTGTGCGAAAAGTGTGGAGGGTTCCTGTGGATTTGCATTGTTCAAGATTCTTCAAAAGAACCTTTGACTCAAAAGTAGCTCTAGTTACTTGTGACTTACTTTCACAAAGCAGATCAAATTTGACACTGCATAAAACAGTACATGTAAGTGACTGCTAACAATTTGTAGTTAGGTAAAACGCTGGCTATTATTGCTGTTATTACAAAGTTTACAGGTGGAAACCCTGCTCCAAGAACGTATCTATTTTTATCAGTGAAATTATGTAAGGGAATGTCCACAAGTTAATTTTCCCAGACCCGCTTGGATCTTAACCAACCTCGTCGATTCCTCGGTATTACACAGTTCATAAGGTGAAAGGAAAGTTTTTTAATTTGAGAGTTACTCCAACCGAGTGGTCAGGACTGTACCTTGCGTGAGGAGTAGGTACGGTGCTAGTGCCTTCTCATAAACTTTCTGCCTGAAGATTGCTCTGTCGGGAATCTCTCCCAGTAGCAACTGTACAGTAATAGCTAGCTTCTGAACCTACAAGTGAAATGAACGGAAAGGATTAAAAGTCTGGAGCCACCTTAAGTGGCTTCAGTGAATGACTGATTTTAACCGCACACTATGAAGGTTGTAAAGTCTGTCATTGTCTAAATGATCAACTCCAAAGCTCTGTTCTTAATATCGGCTTTTTGCTTGTGAGAGAATTTTAGGACTTATCATTGAGTGTATTGGATATTATCCATCATCTAGACCCTCTAAAGTATGACAAATGATACCCTAGAGACTGCTTTGACTTTTACTGCCAGCAATGTATTCATCTTATTTTCTTGACAGAAATGGCAAGCAACGTTACCATTCATAAGGTGTTGCGTCTCCAAGCACTGAAAGTCTCAAATTCCCCAGAGAAAACCAGCTTGGCACATTTCTGCTTGAAGCACAACTCTGGGAAAAAATGCAGGTAACTTACCGTCTGTTTGAAACCAACAGCAGTGTATTGTGGTGCCTTGCGCAAGGCTTGCAACAAGTTCTTATGGGCCTCTGAGTACTCCAGCTGAATAGCCTTAATACGACCTGTCGACGGGAAAAGAGAAATATGCACGTCAGCATCAAAATCTTGTCTTTATGCACTCATTGCTCTGATGTTCTGAACCCTTTGAGATGACGTTCTGTTGTAGTCAACCAAGTGCAGTGCACAGTTTCTTGCATTCCACATTGATAAGCACTCAAACAAAGATCATTCCCTCACCTCATCTGGCCAAACTTGTTATGTTTTTTGTTGAAACAATATTATGTTGAGACAGTGACTACTGGTTGTGATGTTTATGTGTATCCGTCCGTTACGTCGCCATGAGTAATTTTTAAATTAATCTACTTTCTTAAAATATTTATATCTGTGTCATCTTGTTAAAGTGTCTTTTTATATTTTTTTATTAACTTGGTGCAATCTTTCATTTTCTATTGTAAAATACATGTAATTTGGCCATCAGGCCACAAGATGTATGAAATAAAATAAAACCTAAACCTAAACATATATATGTTTTGATTAACCCTAAGCTTCCAGGGTGTTTTGGCAAGAAACTCTGCCGGATGCATCATCATTTGTCCAAGTAGCTTGCAAGCCTAGAGCAACAAGATCTAATAGGTCAACTATCCGAAAGGCCAAACAGCCTGAGAGCCTGTGGTTGCCATCCACAACGGGATCCAATGGTGGAATTGTTCGATTGGACCGGTTCCCATTGTCTCAACACAGAAGTAGGCAGTTTGGTTGGTTGCCGTTGCCTTTTCCAGTGAAACAAAGTCCAGCAGACTTTTTACACCTGTTGCACTTGGCTGTGTCTGGCAGAGTCAGGCTTAAATGTCAGCAATGCCGAGAGAGAGGAGATCCCATCGTCAGCTGCTGCCACTCACCTAAGTAGTAGAGAAACCTGGCCCACTCATGGTTGGACGCCTCTTCGGGGAAAGTGGACTTGGCCACCAGCTTATCGGCCTGGTCGTACAGGTTGTAGTGGAGGTAGTTGCGCAGGAGAAGGTTCAGGAGTGTAGCCTGGGCTTCGGTGTTGTGCCTGAGGGTTGCTGTGCGCAGCTTTGCATGGAGGAAACTACAACACGAAGGAGCAAAGACAGACAGAGCGGGATAGGTTACAATGCCGTTCAGCGACTCTTTTCATTTAACAAATGTGAACAATCTGAGCCCGTCTACAAATCAAGGAGCGACCTGAAATACACAAAGCTTGAAGTGGTAGATCCTTAGGCAGGGTGCAAATTATCCCCAGTTCATTTACACGTACCTGGAGCCAGCTGTGTTACTGTGCGTGTATAGGAGAGTTCAGGCAAAAGTAGGAGACAGTTCATTTTTTTCACTTATGGGCTGACAAACGGTGATGATAAATACGACACAAAGCTTTGTGATACCACGTAGATGGTAGCTGCCGTGAATAACCATACATGTACTCTCTTCTTTCCAAGAAGTGTGGTTCTGAAAAGAACCGGTAGTGATAGTATTCTGAGAGTCTTGCAAGCTGTGTTATGCTGAAATCAAAACCAACAAGGAACTGGCCTTGACCAGTTGAAACCTGTTCTGGCCAGTTTAGTTCTCATCATCTCTCACCTCCTAACTTTCTCCAGCTGGCCTGTGAGCTCATAGGCTCTGGAGTGATAGAAGAATGCCTTAGCTGAGAGTTGGTCTAAGGAGCGTCTGTTCTGCACGTCTATCTTGGTCATGAGTAGGTCTGAACACGTCACGGCCTAAGGGATATGAAAAAAGATCAACTACAATATTCACGCCCTGCACAGTGCACTGAGTCCGTTGCAACAAATTATTTCGTAAGAAAACACTTTTCACACTAGATTCATTTCAAAATGTTGCATGTATCATCTAACTGAAGTTCTAAACAGAGTCATTTCATCTTAACCCTAACCCTCCCCCAAGGGTTGCTGGCCCTAACCTTCCCCATTCACACAAAGTTAAACACCCATATTTGTGCAAAGAGGCTGTTGGACTTTGTTTTTCTGAGGTATGCCAAGCCCAATCCAAAAGCCAGCTGTTATGGGCCTACCAGACCTATCCCCACAAAATTAAACACTTTACTACTGTTTAATTCTGTGTGGTTGGGCAAGGTTAGGGTTAGGCCCTTTATTTGTGGCTTTCAGTAGGACTGAAAGACCGTGTGTCTACAGCAATCATTTCTTTAAATGAAGACGCTGAATGCAGCTGACGGAAGAAGACAAAATTGTTAAAAAACACGGACCCCAAACCACCTAGGTGAGATTCCGTAAAATTCATGAGCTTGCTGTTCTCGGGTGACAGTTTACACTGGGAAATACCTCATCGTATCTTTTGGTGTCAAGGAGGTGCACCACAACCAGCAGGTGGACATAGACATCTAGCTCCGGCAGTAGTTGGCCATTTGACGTCTTACTACTCCGAGGCCGAAAGATGATATTATTATCTGTTGTATCCATCGGCTGCGAATCAAGCAAAAGCAAACTTTATAGCTCGTCTTCCTCCACACATTTTCCACTCACGCTTTGGCTTTTACAATGATAAACAACCATTTTCCAAAATTTTGCTGAAAAAAAAACTTTTATGGTGCAAGGGACCATAAAGAAAGTAACTGTGTCTGCACTTGGTGTGCCTGTGTGCCAGGCAAAAGACCAAAGGATGAATCCAGGAGGTTGGAACTTGTTCCATTATTCACAACTTAATGCATCAGGTTGGGCAGAACAGGCAAAACCGACCTGAAACAAAGTACATGTAGATAATATACAGCATCCACCCCGTAACCCATCTCGGATTTCGGGTCGGGTTTGCACAACAGGAATGAACAGGCAACTTTTTCCTGCATGTTCTTATGCTGTTCAATTGCAGCTTTTGGGCTCAAGATTCAAATACATCTACTGCTGAACCAAAACCCTGTATTAACCCTAACAGTCCCGAATGCTACATAGTACTACTTAGTAGTAAAATGTAGCACTCAGCCCTGTCGCTTGTAAGAGGACATGACATTATTAGTCTCAGAAGCCATAAAATACAATCGAGAAGACAATGTACCATACAATGCTGTGGCACTATGAATGCATGGTTTTATTGTTCTCTGTATGAGTAACAACGGAATACACCTAGCCAGAAATAGTAATTAGTAGCCCTACGTCCTTCAGGCTCAGAGTGTTACGTAGTACTTTGTAGTACTGAGTACTCTAAACCAAACAATGCCCGGTACTGTAAGGGTTAAAGTTTCAATGCACAAATGCACATGTACACCAAAATGTAGTTGCTCGAGGAGCCAAATTCTAAGAAGATGACCCACCTCATCAAGATACGTGATGAGGTTTTCCCTTGTGATGCTGGAGGAGGTGAAGTAGCCCGTGATGAGCTTGCGTAATACTTCATGGTTGAGTTTACGTCTGGATGAGGTCAGTGCCCGGACAACCCTGGACATGTAGTTCTTCTCTTTAGAAGACACAGCTTTCTCAATGTGCTTAACATGCTCCTTGAAGTCTGTTCAGTAATAAATGAAGGCAAAAAAGAAAGTCACACAACACAAAATCACTGTCATAATGTTCCGTGTAAGACAGACATACAAGTTCATGTATGTGCAGCTTCTCAAAAAATACTTTTTTGACAGTCTGGTGCATAAAAATGGAAGATCAGTTAAGTTTTCTGCCACTGGCACTGCAACCGTGTGGGACTGGCCACCAGTTTCCAATGAATTTGTTTCTGACATATTTAAAGAGTCCACAAAGTGAAATTTGCTTTAAAATATATTCGGTGCTACTTTCTACTCCTCTTAAAAGTACAAAAATTAAAACCCCTCCCCTTTGGGTTCTTTCTATTGAAAAAACACTCTTCATTTACCATGCATTTTCCAGGAGAATGAGGGCACTTTTCGAGTCAAATTGTGTATCAAAATTCTGCTCAATAAAACTATTTGTAAGGAATTCAACTTTGCTCACTACTCATTGATTTGTTATCATGAACAGATCTTTTCACTTAATAAATTCATAATTATGCACGCATGCGCACAACTGGCCTTGGTAGCAAGAAGTGTGAGCGGGCCCTTGAAAATGTACAAGAGTGCAATTTTGATCATTTTTCTCTCAGGTTTTCTGGCTTTGTTCACGTCTTCTTCAGAAAATCCCATTATATCGTTTTTGCTAAAAAACAGCACGAAAGGAGACTGACTGGCTTAGATACGGCAATCTTGTGTGCACAGGAGAAATCCTGATTGCAAAATCTCTTTACAGAGCACTAAAAAACCTGCTTCAACTAATAGCAAAAACAGTTTGCTTGGCAGAAAATTATCAAAATCGCACCTCTGTATGTTTTAATGGCCTGCTAACACTTCTTGCCGCCAAAGCCATTTGTGTACATGCGTGCATAATTATGAATTTATTAGTGAGGGAGTCTATAGGGCTGTGCCAAATATCCGAATCGATTATCAAATATTTAAATATTGTTTTCCCAATATGAATATTCGAATGCAAATTTCATGAAAAGGAAGGGAGAATTGCCATTTGTTTTAAATGAGGAAAATTTCCCTATGGAGGCTTGTTTCAAGCAGATTCACATGAAAAGCGACAGAATAACGTATCCTTAAATAAATAAAAAAATAACTCCCTTATTAAAAACTTAAACGGAATAGAAATTTTCACCAGGGTAAGAAGTAGTGTTTGTCTATTAAATTGTGGCTGGAGATACTCCTAAATGTAGAAGTGAGAAGCTATTATAGTGATTATAATGTACAAGTGTGTGCATTATTGCAACTGATTTTGTACAGTATATGGTTTGGTCATCATCAATCCGCAGATTCATCAAATCTTTATTATTTCTATACATGTGTCAGAAAAAGCAAATTTCAACTGGAAGTAAATGGAAAGTCGGAGCACTTTTCCACCTTCTTTTTGACTGGAAAAGGCTAGAATTACAGGTACATGTATCTTTTGTAGTTTCACACAACAGTGGTATGTGTGAGTTATTTTATGGCCATAGCCTAGGGCATGACATGAGGAAAAATCACAGGTGTTTGTTGTGCAGTAGGTTACATACAGTAATTCCGATATTTTTTGTCAAGGAATAATATTTCTATCATTCTCTTTGAGAATCGCTCCCCGTAATATAGCCACTTTAAATGGGTAAAGATCATGTGTCGGAATTACACATCCAACCATTCACAATTGTCACATAAGAGCATGCATTATAAGCAATGCCGTCCACCATTTTCATGTGAGTCAGCGAAATTGAAGTACTCCAATCCCCCTTGAAATACCTTCGTTTTTCATTCAATCAGTCAAAAAATCAACAAGCACCGAGTGTATACTAAAGACTGACAGCACTTTATAACCAGACTTGATTTTCACCAAGGGTAACGTTTTTAGCAAGAAACTAAACGACGATAGGCCTACCATCTAAAGTTATCATGTCGGTTTCTTTCTTCGATGGGACTTCCTCCGCCACAGTCTCTCCCTCTCCGTTTATTTTCGCCGTGGTATCAACCATCTCTACATCAGCTGGTTTTTCCTTCCCCATAATTCAAACACTTTCGTCTTGTCTACTCCTGCGACACAGCTGCGGTTAAATAAACTTTAAAAATGCCAATTTTCAACATCGGTTTTGGAAGAAAGTACCCCCGATGAAGGCGAGGGTCGCATGCGTACATGCACGGTACTAAAGGTTATTGGAGCTACCTCGTACCGCGTGCTGTAATAATGAGTTGATTAAAAATGTCCTGGTGTAAAGGTTATTTTGATGGTTCTGCGATGGCCTTGTCCCAATATACTGGCCTGCGGCTGTGACTAGACTGAGGATATTCAGCACAAGTGCCTACAGAGATAGCTGCAGCTTGCGATCCTAGTGGCTTTCAAGACAAACGGGCTAACCTTTGGGAACGGCTTGCTTTGACGACTGCATGCGTTATAAGAGCGCCCTCGATGGGTGCTTCTGTTCAAACAAAGTCTACCTATACCGTATGACAGATCAAAAGTTGCGAGTCAAATTTCTTGTTTTATGGAAAGCCTTGTCTTTGAAAAACACAATTGATTAAGAGATAAAACATATTCAGGTGTCTACGCCAACTGCAAAACTTGCCATTGTTAGGGTTTGGAAAAGTCAGGTGTCGACATCGTCATCATAGGCTAACTTTGCATATTCTGTTCAATGTAGAAGCTGTAACACACCCTGGAGGTTTCAAAGGTGGCGAAAGTGTCTTTAAATCAAGACTGTATTTTAATACACTCTACTTGGCTAACTATTACTTCTATAGGAGGATTCTTTCAATGTTTTCCTATATATCTGTGGAAAGTAGAAACCGTCTGGTTTGTTGAGCTGTTTTGAGAGTTTTTGTTCAGGTGTTATTTGTTCGGGAATTAAAACAAAACAGGCACACTTTTACCAATAGATTATTTTCGTTTCTATTTTACCATTCAGGAGGATTTTTTCATTTAAATCTGTAACAACGCCACAAGTGTGACCAAGCAGCCTAATCGAATGATTGCTCATAATTTTAACTGATTTAGGCGATAGTGATTGTCCCCATTCCAACATTTTGTTTGTCATTTACTTATTTATTATGTTTTGGAACAAAATCAGAAAAAAGGCCAAAAAGTGTCAACAGCTTCGTACAAAAGTCGGAGAAAGAGATCATCATCGTGAACACGACCTCAGGGTGTCGCAAAACTTTGTGAGGAAACAACTTATTACTCGAAGCAATGTGTACTCAGTCTGGTTCCCTGATCTTAATAAGATTCTTGACGACTCTTGAGAAATTCTTTGGTCAGGTATTAAAATAAAGCATGAACGTGTCAGGGGTCACTGACTGAGCTGAGAGCTTTTAATTTCATCGCATTGACTTCTTTTTGCGGGATATTCTTTAAACAATACACAGTGTGTGATTTTTTGAAAAAATTACATTGTTCCTTTTAGGATCGAAAGAAAATCAGGCATGATTAATAAGTTTATAAAGCAGTCAGTTTTAGTGGAAACACTACAGCCTTTGGTGACGATTTAATTCCATGATTAATCTAACCGAAAAAGTCAAATATGTGAGCAACACGAATATTAACTAAAATTAAATATCCGTAAAGTCAGAGATTACATGTATCTGCGGTATTATACGGAAACACTCAAAGTGATCTTGGAATGTACATGTAGGCTTACACAGTTTCAACAAGTCTTTTCAATTAACATTTACAAGAGAACCTATTCATTCTTTGTTTATGAAGTCACAAAATGATGACATTTAATTATTGAAATTTATTCATTTTACTGCTGTACATTGTCCGTTCAGTTCCACCTGAGATTGTTATACTTCAGGTTTAGTCACCACATACTTGATAAGTAATCCATTTTACATTAATTTACATATAAAGTGAAACAGTTCAAAGAGAATATGGATATACGTTTTGTATCCAAACATTTAATGGTTTCCGCGGTCAAATAAGTCATATTTATAGGATGGAAAGACACTTCGTTTTCGTCTCAAACAAGAACAAATTAGATTCCTTCCCTTTATAGTCTATACCGTTCCCTTGCAGGAGGAAGCCGTCTTCATTATAACAATATCCCATTTCTAACTCACCGTCACGCTAGAATAAGTTTGGTACAAAAATAAACTACAAAAATGTAGAAAGAATAAAAATATTTTCACATGAAATCCTACATAATTCATAAGCTAAACGAAACTCTTTGGCGAATGTGAGGAAACCCTCCATTGAGTATCTGGAAAGTTAATGTCATACTGACCAGGAAATCCAGTGCACATGAAAGACCTAATTTGTTTTGCTAGGAAAATCAACAATAAGACCCAGCCAGGTAAATGTGCTGATAAAACCGGGCGCCATATGACGTACAATTGTCCAATTATAAACACGTTTCCGTGATCATTTTCACATAAAAACATTTGTCAAAGTTTCAAGTGAAACGAATGCCTCCCTAAACAACTGCAGTGTTGAACAATTTTTAAATATTTCATTCATTCTAATTCATCCAAGCATGAGGCAGAAGTCGATCAAGAATATAATTCAATAAATTTCAATATGTGTCATGTATTTTGATTCAATTTATCTCGAGGTATAAACTGTATTTCCTTATTCCTTTTTTTCAATTTGAAAAGTGGATATTCCCGATCGAGTTGAGAGAGGGTCCTGTGAAAAATTAACATGCAAACAGAAACTGCATTTTGTTTTTCACGCTTCAACGATGACCTTGGTTTTGTTTCTATCAACATCTGCTGGTATTTAATTTAAAACGGTCCAAATATTCGAGACAAGATTGAAGAAATCTTAATAGTACCCAACACTATGCCTCAATATCATTACCGATATACAACCCAAATTGAGAGAGCCTCACATGAAGGACAGAATAATGCAAAGAAATTACATGCATTCCAAGTAAGGCAATAATTAAGAGCAAGAATATAGCCAAGAAAATGCTTTACAGTTTGAAACAGATTGACTGTAACAGGAAAAGAAAAACCTAGATACCCCTGCCCTTATATAAGACCATTAATTCGATTTCATCAGTTCAAAGAAGTAAATGGAAGTTAGACTTACGGTCGGTGAAAATGTAGTCTGGAAGGCCTATGGAGAACAGAATGATCAAAACTGTAACCACAACGAAACTGATCGCAATGCGAGAAACTCCATACATGGAAATCTATATGTGTATCGAGTCATGCAATGGCATACAGTAAGTTTGAATTAGAGACATCTGCATCAGAAATAGAGGCATGCTGGAATGATTTGTACCTACAGTTCATGATCCCTACATAGGTTTATACTCGTTCAGCTCAACTCAGAGTCAGACACATTCACATTATATTCCAACAAGTGGGCCGAAGAGGAGAGTATACAAGTTAACGGGGTGTGCAGCTATCAACATTTTCAAATGGCATGCGTTATTTCAGCCAATGGCGTGTCTTATTTAACTTGCTTCCGCCGGTAGAAACAATCAAGTCTATTTTTGGATTTGGCTGCTGGCACTGAGTAAATGGCTGCCGCAGGCGTCCCTTTAATACATGTATTTCAATCTGAAGACACAAGTTTCTGACACGGCAACAACCTGGGTATACTTTGGCTTTAGCATCTTGAACTAAGACCTCATTGGCCACAACCACGATTTACCTTAACAAACCAGAGGTTGAGTTACAAGGTTCTGCAAGAGCGTAATAACAGATACATCTGTATCATGAACATCGCCCCCTGCTGTTATGGTGTCAGAATGGTCTTCTTCGCTTTTCCAATTTCAATGCACGGGCAAGTCATTCCCCCATAGTCTCCCATCCCCTAAGTTCCCGGTACAAATTTACGCCACTTGTAGCCTACTGTACAAATAATGGCAGCTGTCCATTGCCCGGATCTCAGTCCCTCCCAAGAAATATGCCCCTCTGTAGTCTGGTACACGGTACAACAAAATAGATTTCCAATAGCACAACTAAACAACAACTGATTTAACATTTACAAAGCTATATACATTTATTTACATTTTCAAGGATCCCCTGTAGACAAAATATACACTGTTCTGAAACTAAAAACCAGTTACAATGATTTGATGAGACAGTGGGTTTGATGCTTTAATATTCAACAGAAATCCCTTCAAACCTTAAACGTTGGGTTCACTGTCTTTGTTAAAAGAACAGGAGCTTTTAAGTTTCACCGTAGTCCGGAAGGTAGTAGAATTCTTCATTACTCTGGTTTAATGTAGAGGTCGCACGTGGACCATCGGTATTTTCCCGGACTGTTCCATCAACCGGTCCTGGAGATGAAGACGCGGACATCCCCGGCGCATCACGACGGACTGACTCTGGCAGGGCGTAAAGATCCCCTCCGACGAGCGTGTGAGCAGGGCGACTAATGCCGACGCCGTGGTCGGCCAGGTGAGGTCTGTTTGAAGGAGCTTTACACTTACGAGAATAAATGGCTACGGCGATGACAGAAGCCGCGACGACAAGCAAGGCTATGATGCCAACGATCATCCCCACCAGGCCAACAAACTGCTTCAGCTCGCCGGGGTGGCCTGTCGGTTTCTTGGTTTCCGATGCCGCCACCAAAAATATCTGATA